TGAAGGAGTGTACTTCACGGAAGTACCGGATCAAATTGGTTTTTGTTAGACTGAAGGAGTGTACTTCACGGAAGTACCGGATCAAATTGGTTTTTTTTAGACTAAAGGAGTGTACTTCACGGAAGTACCAAATCAAATTGTTTTTTGTTAGACTGAAGGAGTGTACTTCACAGAAGTACCAGATCAAATTGACTGTTGTCAATGTAACCTGTTGGTCAGTAGGGAAGATGCACGACACCTCCTTACTACTAATGTCAGAGTCAGACAATCACCACACCAATTTGTTACTTTAGTCAGACGAATGGCAGGGTAGTTCGCACGGCGAGTACCCTATCATTTGCCTTGGTTATTTCACGCAAGCAGCTTGATGACCTTATGGAAGTACCGATTACTTCCTAGACCTAACCTGTAATGTAATGAGAGGACTGCACGGCAGCCTCTCGTCGCCAATGTCGCAATTAAGCAGATATTTCATCAATTTGTTACCTTAGTCAGGGAAATGGTAGGGTAACTTCGCACGACGAGCACCCCATCATCCAGTTTAGTAGACTCATACAAGCAGTGTGACGACCCTACAAAAGTCTCCATCACACAACTTTATGTTTCAGAGCCAGGCAAACTAGATTCCTTTTTCAGTTCTTCCTAGGTTCCTTTCTTCCAATAGGCAGGATTCTTACTTACGCATATGTTATTTCATCTCTTCTTGAAATTTCTCCTGAAAAAACAAGAAGATGTATAGCATACATCCATACATGCATTCTGATAGAAAGTTGTAGTCAGTAAGGGATACGGGAAAGGAATAGGTGGCGCGTACCTTACAGTTCCCTGCCTCCAGAGTTCCTTCTGAACTCCGGCAGAGCTCCCACAATCGCCCTGTTATCAATCACTCCTAGTCTATGCAATGGTTTGCCTAAACTTTCAAAGCCAGCAAAATCCAGGATTATTTTAGTGAAAATCATACCATCGGACATCTATGGTAGCAGAGATCGGTATTTCAAAGAACCAACCGAAGATGGAAATGGAGGAGGATGGAGGAGGTAGGCACCATCACACGGTGATACTGTCTCTCTCCTCTCCCATGCCCTGCATCTCCATCTTTGATCTTTGTTTAACATACGAGGTCCAAACAATAACAATAGCAAAATAACGTAAATAATAATAATAGTAATAATAATAATAATAATAATAATAATAATAACAATAAATAATAGTGATAATAATTGGAAGTAGTATCCCGTCATCATTTCTGAATGACCAAAGAGTAGGCAGATGTCACAAAAAAACCTTTCCCCTGTTGCTTTCCTTTCTCTTTTCACTCCTTCATCCCCCTTCTTTTTGGTCTGCATGCGTCCTTTTTGTTCCCGCCACACAACCTTGGACGCAGCAACCCGCTCGCTAATCCGCATGCGTGTCTCAAGGGTCACGTGTGTTTGATTGTTGCCCTGCCAGCCTACAAGATTGTGAGGGCCCACGCTTGCTGCTCTGCGCGTCAACCGCCTGTTGTTAGCGCCACAATGTCCGGCTGCGCGTGCCCCGATGTCTGCGCCCAATCTACCATCACACAGTTTACTAGTGGTCTATGAATTGACAATGCATCCAGTTAAAGTCAGCAGCAGATTCGGAGTCCATGAAGGTGTCGACCTTTGTAGGCTACCGCTAGGTAAGTCTCTCTCTCTACCATTGTCTCTTTACGTGTGTGTCTGTCTTTTCATGTCTGTCTGTCTGTTTGCTTTGTCTGTTTGTCTGTCACGTCCGTTTGTTTGTCCGTCGTTTTATTAGTGTCCGACTGTTCGCTTGCCTGTATCGGACTGTTTGTTTGTCTGTGTCGGACTGTTTCTGTCTTTCTCTATGTCAATTTTGTCTGTTCGACTGTTTGTAGTTGTCCGTATCTGTCTCTGCTCTTCTCTTTCTCCTCTTGAGAATCTTGACTCTAAATACACCCGTTGTTACTAAGAACTGTCCTACTACAAACGCATGCGGCTATGGCTGCCTTCCTTCTCAGCGCAGTGCTGCCCAACAACGTGGCCGACCAGCCCCTACCTCGACTTGGACTGAGCTTCAACTCGCCCCAGCCTCTCCTTCCTTTGGCTTGACTTGGACCTGGTACCACATGCCCACGGCCTTCTTGCTTCAGAATATCAAGGCCTGATATTTTTCTTGAATTTTTACTGGAATGCTACTGCCCGAGTCTGTAAGTCACGAGATTTCATCTGCGGAATACGACTCTTGTATGTGGGTTGTGACTTTTGTCTGTGACTCCCCACTTGTTTTGTCTCTCTCCATGCCTTTCTGCCTGTCTGTCTGTCCATATCTGTTTGCGTGTCAGTCTGTCTTGTCTACCTTTCTGTCTTGTCTATCTCTCTTTCTCCGTACTTCTCCCTCYGTCTCACCCTGTGTTTTTGTGTCAGCTTGTCTGACTGTCTGTTTTTGTTCCTCTRCTTGTATCTRTCCGTGACTGCCCGTGTTCGTCTATGCCAGTTTGTATGACTGACTATCAGTCTGTGACTGTTTGTCTGTTTAGGTGTATGTCTATGTGTCTGTTTCTGTCTATGTATCTGTCTGTTCCTRTTGGTCTGTCTGTCTGTTTATACTTYTYTGTTTGTCTTGTCCAATTGTCTGATTGTCTGTTTGTCTGTCTGTTACTGTGTCTGGCTGTTTGTTTGGTGGCCTGCATTTGCCTGTCTGCTTTCTTATTTGTCTGTCTATGTCTGTATGCCTGCTTTGTGTTTGTCTGTCCGTTTTCTTGTATGCGTTGGTCCTTGTCCGTCCTCGTCCAGTCAAGCAAGTACCGTATGGGACTGTGTGCACTACGGACATAGGAAAGGGGACCAGTGAGCTGCTGTTGTATAAATCAAGAGGCAGCGCCCTGCCATTCATCCATTCCTGCGTGAGCCATCTGGAAGCGCTGCCATTGCAACTTGTGCAAGGAGGTCTACAGTGAGCCCGGAGGATGCAGTGGGCAAGAGAGAAGGAGCTTAGTGTAGTGATAGGGTAGAGGCAGTCATTGCTGCCACAACTGTAGTAAGAGTGAAGTGTGTGTGTATGTGCAAGTGTTCAGAGTGACGCGTGTGGGATATCCAGGGTGATTCGGTGTATGTGAACAGTGAGTTGTTTGGGCACTGAGTTGCCATAGCCAGTTGAAAACGAACTCGTATCTGGATGCCATATCTCTGAGTTTTGTGTGAGCGAATGTCGCCAGCTTGCTGCGCTACTGTTTACATGCATAAAAAGTGTGAATGAAGGCGAGTCTGATTGTAAAATAATAAAAGAATAAAAGTAATAATAATAATAATAATAATAATAATTATATATCAATCAATCAATAAGAATAATAATTAAAAAAATAATAAAATTAATTCAAATAAAAATTGCAGGGAAAACGAGTGATAGAGCACTTCAGAAATCAAACAGCATCATACATTTGAGACCAGATAGTCATGACATCGAACCAATAGCAGATTTGCATTACGAGATTCACCAAATAAGAACACACCAAGAGTTCATAATTGACAATGCTGAAATAGTCCCATCATCATCAACGAAGAACCAGAGTTGATATCCTATCTGGCGCTCGGCGCTCAGACTACATGTGGAAGATCCTATCTAGCCTATACTACGAAGCTGAAAGATGACGTTAACAACATTCCCGAAGTACGAGCATATGGTGACCAATGTCGCACGCTTCCAGCACCAGGTATGTCTCGCACTACACTCACAACCTTGTTCCCAACTCACAGATGCCACTAGCACCCAAGATCCACCATTCACCCCATCCAGCCTACTCTACCCGACTATCCTACCTACAGCTGTGTTCACACAACAGACTCACTATGACTGTCAACACCATAGCCGACCTCTCTTCACGTACCAGGTACGTATCTTCAGGTCATCATCATCATCATCCTTCTCTCTCTCCCTTTGTCTGTGTAATGAGTTAGTGAAACGCTGACGCAAACAGTTCATCGCAACCACTCATCTGTCGTCCTCTTCTCCCCTTCTGTCTACGGTTTACCGGGCAGACTATACATACGGTTTGACTATATATACACATATATACATATATTCAACACCTTTCTCTTCACTGCGCACATATCCCCTGCACGCCAGCGTATCTCCTTCCCCAAAGTGCGCATTCCTTTCTCCTGCCTCCTCTCTTCGCCATCCCGTTCTCACCACTTCCCGCCGATTGTTCAACTTGAACGGCTTCTCAAACCACCCGTTGTCGGGTTGCGATCAAGGGGCACAGGCACTCAGCCGTAGTCACGGCGAGGTGCATTTCAGAATAATAGAATATATAATAATAACTAAATAAAAAAAATAATCAATGAGGTAAAATAACAATAAATAAAATAGTAAAAACACCAATAGTATAAAACAATGTATACAAGCTATCTTTCCGGTCTGATACAGTCATGTCGAGAGTGCGTTGTTCTTGGAAATGGGAGCCTTACAGTGGTCTGAATGACCATCGTCCAACAGGCAAGTTTCTCTCATCCTTTCTCACGCTCTCTCTCTCTCACACACACACACACACACTATCGTAGTAATGTATTTTTCCACGTTCTGTCAATAGATTCGTTTTTGTTATTATTATTATTATTATTATTATTATTATTATTATTATTTTACGCTATCGATGAAAGTATCGTTAGGCTAGTCACGGGGTTGGAGACTTACCTGTTCTAACTTGTGTGCGGCATCTCCGAGAGTGCATCATGGGCACGACGGCACACAGCGCATTCCAATAAAAACGGGGCATGACGGGCATCGCGCATCACAACAAGTCGGCGATGACGGGCCCAAACTTCACTGCGCCATCATTGACTAAACGGGAGGGCGCACCTGCTGTCAGGTCAGTCGCCCTCTTCCCTTACTTTCTCCTCCTCCTTTCCTTCTTCTTCTTATTCTTCTGCTTCTTCTTCTTCTTCTCCTTCTCCTTCTCCTCTCCTCATCGCACGCCCGTTTCTTCAATCACCTGCGCGTGCAGTCCCACACGCTCTACTCCCACTCGCGCCCGCTTTCCATCTCTCTTTCGACGCTCTTTCCCTTGTCGTAGTCCAAACATGATGGTTCCCGCCGTAGCCATTGTTTCCCCCCACAGTAGTCGTCACCTTCGCCGCTTACTCCTCACCTTCTTCCTAGTTCCCTTTGTCGTTCTCTCCCTTGCTACCTTCCCGCTCCCATTCTCCATCTCCTCCTTCCTCCTCTCTCCTCCTTCTCCTTCTTCCTCGTCTTCTTCTTCGTTCGCCTTCTTCTTCTTCCGTCCTCTTCTTCTTCTTCTTCTCCTCCTTCCTTCTTCTTCTTCTTCTTCTTCTTCTTCTCCTCCTCCCTTCTTCTTATTCTTCTCGTTCGTGCACTTCCCTCTTTCCCGCGCGACCACCTCATTTCCTCCGCGCGGTGGCTTCTTTCGTGCTGCTCCGGGCGTTCTTCCTCTTCGACTTCGTGGTCGCGCCCCGTCTTTTTTTTCACCCCTGCGAAGTTTCCCTTTGAGTCGTCCGCAGGTTCGGCCAGGCATGGCTCACAGGCAGTGCCTGTTTCTTCGAGACTGAATTCGTCCGTGATTTCAGTGTAGATTTGTCCATACGAATCTTATAGTAATGAGCTCGGCATAAGCGAAAAATAAATAAAGAAATAACAATAATACAAGAATCTAACTATAACAAAAAAACAAAAAAATAAAAAAAGGAAAAATAACTAAATACTAACAAACTAATTGACTGCTCACGCCAATTGTCATGCACAAGCACGACAGAATCTAGTTGCTCCAACTAACTACTAACTCCTAATAACCAGGGCACAGGATCGAACCCAGGCCGATCGAGCCTGGGTGAAGGTATAGAGGAGCTCCTTGCAAAAAGGAGCTAGCTTCAGCGTTTGGGTGGACTCGAACCCTACACCCTATGCTTGACAGTCCTACACCTTAAGCTATTGAGCTATCTCCCACTTCGAGTAGAAGGGGAGCAGCTTAGATCATAAACAGAAGTGGGGCTCAGTCCGACCAGTGGACTGAGCCCTTTTTTCTTAAGTCAGTGTGTGTGCTTTCTTGCTGGCCCGCAAGCCTATATGATTGCTTGTCGGCTTGAGTGCATGCGTGACCCGCAATGGCACTTGATTCACCTGTTGGCCCAAAGAGCCGGTATTTGCCTGCGGCCGTAACACTGAGGGTTGCGGTAGGGAAAACACTCAAGTAGCGGGTATGTCAGTATCACACCAGTAGAGGTAGATGTACGCGGCACCTGAGGTTGAGCAGAAGAAAACAAAAGTTGGCATTCTTATAGGCCCAACACCGGTAGATAGGCGGATACCAGTTCAAGTAGCGTGACTCTAGACCCGGTGCGGACGATATCAGAGGTTGTGGCGGTGTCTCCCTCTGTAAAGGAATGAAGGCACCAGTTCTTTTGGGTGGCCACGAAGTTACCACTCGAGAGGCGACTTCCTCTCTACATACAAGAGGCGAAGCGGTAACCTCAACCTTGGTCACTACATACGTGTACTGACTGCCGCCACCTATTATGGTCGGCAGTGTATTTCTTTTGGCTGCCCCGGCTGCATGGTCGGGGTTGTATTAATTTTTCAGTTGACTTTAGATTTTACGACGACGCRACCTGCCGACTTCCCTATATCCGCCGGTCCGACGCCCCGTCACTCATTCAAATTCGTTTTTCCCTTACCGCCTGAACGTTTGACTGATTTAGATCGTGGTCGACACATCCCGTGCGATCTTCTCTCGTTTTTTGCCAACCCTCCGGCCCTCGCGGCCGAATTCTTTTAATTTTTACTAACCCTTACCTGTTGTCGTATGCATCTTGTCACTGCATATGATCGCCTAAAAATCTCGGCCTCAATGGTCGAGAAGTTCGCTTCACATCGCCAAGCCAAAAAAATTCTCACTTTCTACTCCAGACTGTCTCCGCCACGGCGACCGGCGTCGATACTCTATCAAATGCAAAATCATGAGCAAATACCCTTGTAAGCGTGTTTGCTCCGACACCGTGGCCGCAAATCCATTCGGTGTGCAAGAGGCGTTCCAGCTCGGGAGCCGTGGAGTAGTACTTGCAAGGGAGAAAACGCGCATACTTACTCGAACGGTCCACAACCGTGAGGATGCCGTCGTGCCCGAGGCGATCGCAGGGAGATGGTCCGGTGACATCCATGGCAATGGAGAGGCCGGGTTCCCGTGGGATAGGCATCGGGCGCAACTAGCCGTAGGGGTTGCGATTGCGGGGCTTGCTTCGTCGGCAAACTTCGCAAGAGTCGCAATACTGAGTGACATCGGTAATGAGGTCGGGCCATCAGAATCGTTGTCGAAGCCGTGCGATAGTGCGATTGACTCCGAAATGGCCGGCGAGTCGCGAGTCATGGTACTCCCCGAGAAGGCGAGTCGAAGACGGTGGCCTCGTGGGACACACAATAAGTCCTTGCCTCTCGAGTGGAGGAGCAAGTACCCGTCAACAATGCGATAGTGGCTGACCGGCGGGTGATCCGAATGTAGCTGTGCATACAACGTGGCGAAGTCCGGATCAGACTCATAGCCCCGGATGAAGTGTCGCTGGAGTTCCTCGTCGAATGCGAAGGCATGATGTGTCATGGCGCAAAGATCAGGTCTTCGCGAGAGTGCATCTGCTGCGCGATTGGAGAGGCCGGGAATATGTTTCGGTGTGAAGTCAAATTGGTCAATGAAATACATCCATCGTCCGATCGTGCTGCTCACCGTATCCTGCGTCTTGTAGTAGGTTAATGGGTTGTTGTTCGTGACCCATGTGAACCTACAAAGCCCAAGGGGGAAGTGCCGCCATCGCTTGAGAGCCATCACGAACGCGAGCAGCTCCTTCTTCCTTGCATCATCAAGCGAATTGATGGGAGGCACTTTGTGGCTGAAATACTCCACAGGGTGCCAGTCATCGCCGTCGTGTTGTTCCAAGACTGCCCCAATGCCATAGCCCGAAGCGTCAGTTGTCACTCTCGTAGGCAGGGTGCGGTCATAGATGCTAAGGACGGGTGCCATGAGCATGGCCGTCTTAAGTGCTTGGAATGACTGGCGTGCGTCGTCATCGAATATGAATGGCACCTTTGGTGATTGTAATCTCGTCATAGGTGCAACAATCCTTGAGTACCCGGTGATGAATTGCTGATAGTAGCCCACCAACCCCATGAATGAACGAACGTCCGTGGTGTTGGTGGGCTCGGGCCATACGCGGAGGGCCTCGATCTTGTCCGCAAGCGGACGGATGCCTTGCGGCGTCACATAATGTCCCAAGTACTCCAGCTCCTGCCGCGCGAATTCGCATTTGTCATGGTTGGCTTTGTACTTGGCTTGTCGTAGCCGCTCCAAAACGGTGCGCAGGTGTTCCACATGCTTGTCCAAACTCGAGCTGTACACCGGGATGTCGTCGAGGTAGATAAGTACGAATCGATCCAGCATGTGTCGGAACTCCGTTGTCATAGCCGCTTGGAAAGTGGCCAGGGCATTCATAAGGACAAATGGCATAACCAGCCATTCGAAATGCCCATATCGCGTCTTAAACGCGGTCTTGTAGCGGTCCTCCTGCCGAATCTCAGATTGGTGATATCCCGACTTGAGGTCAAGCTTGGAGAAGAACTTGGCGCCGCCCAGCTGTTCGAGAAGGTCCTCGATGCGTGAAAGAGGGCCGGCGTTTCCGATCGTTTGCGCGTTGAGCTTGCGATAATCGATGCACAACCGCAAATCCTTGTTCTTCTTTCGGACGAAGAGAACGGGAGCACCGTATGGCGATGAGCTAGGCCGAATCCAGCCTTTCTCCAGAAGGTCGTCGAGTTGTGCCCGTAGCACACTTAACTCTTCCTCGCTCATTCGGTAGATGCAACCGCGCGGAGGTACAGCCCCGTCCTCGAGGATGATCTTGTGGCGGATGGGCCGATCCGGTACTACTCCGTGCGGGCTTTCGAACACGTCGCCGTAGGCATCGAGAAGCTCGCTGATGCGTTGGTCCGAAGATGAGTCCGTCGATGAAGCGTCATGGGGCGGGAGGGCGTGGAGAAAACACACCCCCATCTCCTCGATGTCGTCTCTGGTGATGGAAGCTCGCATGCTTGCGGCGGACACCACGTGGCAGCTTATCGAAGGGTGAGGAGGAGCCACCGTGCATGGGACTAGTACTCCGTTCCGATCACGAACGTGAACGGTGCGGCGGTAGAAGTTCACCGGGTGATCCTCGCTTCGCAGCCATGACATGTCCAAGATCATGTCGAATTTGGTGTCCAAGTTATCGAAGGACACCGCCTCGCTTGCATGCGGGGCAAAGTACACGGGGACGTCATCTATGCACCAGTTGATTGACTTGTGCGTGTGACCGTCTGCCAACGTGACTTGCGTAGGCTGGGACTTCCTCCGAACGCGTGGGCCAAAGCCGGCGCGTACCATAAAGTCCTGGCTCATGTAGTTGCTAGATGCTCCGCAATCGATCAAAGCGCTGCAGGTCGCCTCTCCGATCTGAATGCGTACATATAACAATGGTGCGTCGATGTCGTCGTACCGTTGTGTCTTGAACTCGCGGTCGATCTTCGCAGTGTGCAAGTAATCCCGCAATTGTGCCATGAGCACATTGCAATGCGGTTTCGACAATCGACCGGACCGGGGAAGGGGCATCCATTGGAAGTCTGCAAATGTCAACGGGTCGAGCTCTTCAAGTCTTGACCATGACGTCGAATCCCCGACGATAGATGGCGGCGAAGCTGCCGAATCGGTTGCCGATGGTAGTGAAACCGTGCATGCGGTAGATTGTTGCACGTGGAGCGGTTGGTCCAACGGTGGGACCAAGTGGACAACATAATCCTCGTAAGTGAACCGAGGACTTGCGACATTCGCATCCTCCCCAAATGTGTAGGAGATCGCTAGCACGGCGGCCGAATCTGGTGGAGTGAGAGGGGGAGTCGCCTCACCTCCCGCGCAACTCAGTTTCCCGAGTTGATCCAAAGCCGACAATCCTCCTTGCCTTGATCCGGGCATTGGGAGGTCTTGTGCTTGATGTTGTTGCACCAATAGCAGCAGCCGTAGCGGCCGCGCCACTTGTATTCCGCCTCGGTCAAGTGAAACTTGACCCATGGTGCTGGCTGTTCGTTTTCGGCCGGCGATGCGGTTTTCACCTTCCCGTTTCCTCGGGACTTGTTGCTTCATGGCTGGACAACAGCCACCAGATCTCCCTCACGTGACGCTTGGGTGGCTGCCGGGTCTTCCACAATGTTGTCCGATTGGACTGCAGCGACATGCTGCGGTCGCGTACCAGTTCTCACCTTCTCCACATAGGTTGGCTGCCATGCTGATTTCTCATGTGCAACTGCCCTATTGGTCTTGATGATCTCCCTTGCCTTGTCGATGATTTCAGCGAAGGTTGCGTATTGCTCGCGATCACCAAGTGCAAGGCTCAAGGCGGCACATGACCGGTTGTAGAACTCTTGGCGCAAATGCGAAAATGACAATTCTAGATCGGGCGTTGCCGCGATCTTTTGCCATTCCGTGAGCCAGTCGCGTGTTGCTGTGTTGCCTTGCGTCATAGCGAAGAGGCGGTTGATGGCGAGCGTCGGGGCGTCGTCCACGATGAACCGCTTCTTCCATAGCCGTGTTAACTCTTCCCAAGAGATCTTATCTTTCCGATCTGCGACGTCGACGCCGTGGACGGTTGCCAGGTGGCTCAGCCAGATCTGGCATCCGCCCTTTGAGTTGAGAAACAACGCGCCGATGTACGCGTGCTTGGCGACGAACAGAATCCGAAGTTGCGTCGTAAAGCCCTCCCACCAGAGGACCGGGTCTTGATGCGTATAATCATCGAACTTCTCGATTTGGAATGTCGACATCTTGTAATGCTGCGTGGTGTTGCCATCTTTGTTAGGCAGCTGCAGTTGTTGAACCTCGGTCTTCAAGGTGTCCAGCTGGTTGCTAATGGTGGCTGGTGCAGCGAAGGTACTGATGTCGCCGAGCATTGCGACTACGCGGTCAACTCGTTCCTCCAGTTGACGGGCAGAGGGTGCACTGCTGGACTCACCAGCCTCCGGTCTTGGTGCAGTTTTCTCCAAGTCTTGTACACGGGAATCAAGTGCCCGTGTTGCATCCTCGTGCTGAGCCTTGTGGTCCCGTACGGCCCGCTGGAGGTTCGCCGGTTCAGACTGCAGGTGGTTACAAGTGTAAACCAACCTGGTCACGAGCTTGGCCATGAATTCCTTGTGCTGCTCCTCCGGTGTCGCGTCGTCGTGCCCTTCGGATGGTTCAAAGTGCCAAAACTTGAGCTTTTCGATGCTGGTGGCTTCATGCCGCTGGAGCAGATCCTAGGCTTCCTTTCGGCGTGCCTGGGCATCTGCGTCTGCTTCGGCCTGAAGCCGCTGCTTCTCAGCTGTTGCCGCCGCTTCAACCTGTAGGCGTAAAGCCTCGGCTGCCAGCTGCCGTTGTTCCTCAGCCGCGATTAGCACGAGCTGAGTTTCGAAACGCTGTCGGTACTCGGCAATGGACTCATTTGCCAGTTGGCCTGGCATGCCCAGAACTGAGCCAGACATGGTGGCGAGGCACTGCTGACGCGGCACTGTGGCATTGTTGACGTGGCACTGCTGACGTGGTACTGCTGACGTGGTACTGCTGACGTGGCACTGTTGCTGATGTGGCACTGCTGACGTGGCACTGCTGATGTGGCACTGCTGACGTGGCACTGTTGCTGACGTGGCACTGCTGATGTGGCACTGTACCAACCTGGAAATGCATGCAAAAGGGGTGGGTGGGGGGGAAAACGCAGGTAGGTAACCAACCCAACAACACTTTCCTCCCGACGCTAATCAACAGATAAAAATAGTTTCGGCTTTCACAAAAATGCGATCTTGAAAAAAAAAAATTGTGAAATAGAGTAGAGATGCGATTTTCAGAAAGACTAAATCCAGTTTCTGAGAATATGGCAACCTCCTCATATGCTTACAACGAAATGGTGGTAGGCTTTGTAAGATTTCGGTTTTCAAAAAAAATTTGCGAGATAGAATGGAGATTCGATTTTCAGAAAAGAATAAATCCGGTTTCCGAGAATATGACCACTTCTATCGTTATCCTAACAAGGCGCGCCGCGGGCAGATCGCCAGAGCGACAGAGCAAGACGGGGAGCAGCTTTGTTCGTTTGCGACGTTTGGCTATTGCGTTGTTTCATGCTGGTGTTGGGAGGAGAGAAAGAGAGACAGAGAGAGGGAGAGAGAGAGGGAGAGAGAGAGAGAGAGAAAGAGGGGGTGGAGACAACTTCCATGGTCGCAGTGGCTGTTGATTATATTCTGCGATGTTGTGTGATCTGACGGGTTTGGTTATGCAATCGAGGGAACAGAGAGAGATGCCTTGCTGGATGGTTGTGAATGGGCGCATAAAACTTGCATTGCTGTGTCGAGGCCGTAGAGAGAGAGAGAGAGAGAGAGAGAGAGAGAGAGAGAGAGAGAGAGAGAGAGTTTTCCAGCCACAGCCATGCGCGAAGACAGATAGAGAAAGGCTAAGATCGATCTACAGATCTTGCGGAAGAGAGAGAGAAAGAGAGAGAGAGAGAGACAGAGAGAGATACACATGCAGAGAGAGAGGATGAGATGATGCCACTTGTCAAATCAAAAAGTGGCAGTGTATATTTCGACGTTTGAGCGGAAGATTCATTTCGTTTTTGCTCATCCTATCGATGGAATGTGTGTGTGTGTGTGTGTGTGTATGGAGAGAGAGAGAGAGAGAGAGAGAGAGAGAGAGAGAGAGAGAGAGAG